AAGTTGAACACCACTCCACTTTTTTCATGTTGGTTGTATGTTTACCAATCGATTTCTTGAAATTACTTTTTTTTCCTTTAGGAAAATTAGTTCCTAATTCATTTGAAAAATTTTAGTGTTTCGCAGAAGCTTCTTTCGATTTTCAAAAAATTGGTATGAATTGAAAGACCGCTTACTCCCCTGTGTGCCTGTATACTCCCCTAGAGTCTGTTTTTACTTACCTCTCTGTCGAAGCGTTCGAAAAAATATGTGGGGGAATATTTGAATCATATGTTTAATTTTTTTTTTCGTTTTCTCGAAAAATACCCCTTTCAAATCTGAGTTTTTGGTTTCAATGAACAGAATGGTATCGAAAAAAACCCTGCATGAGAGGCTACACCCAATTTGTTTAATACTACAAAGTAATTCGCCCTCGGAATAGTCATATTTTTTAATATTCTCAAAACTACCCTGCCAAATTTGAGGTTTTGGGTTCAATTCAAAGAACGTGTTGCAGGAAATTCATTTGCTTATGCGACTATTCCCAACTTTTTTGCTGACGATAAGAGTTGTGGCCCTCGGAAAAGTCACAATTTTGATTTTCTGACTATTTTTTGACATTTCTCGAGAACCACCTTCCCAAGTCTGAGATTAAACAGATTTGATAAACAAATTGATTTTTCAGCTTCCTATCTGGTTCCAATATTTTCGAAACAGCTGCAGCAAAAGCCGATTGGTTGTCTGATAAAAAAAATCTCGTGGGGTTAAAATAATTGATCTTTTTTATCGCATGTTCTATTAAAGCTTGAAACTGAAGTTTTTAATAGTCTGTGGTTTTTCCAGTAAATAATACGAAAACGAGCGGAATTTTATTGTTGATCGATTTTTAGTAAAAATTGTATCTGATTCGAAGTATGGATTTGGCGTTGTTTTAAAAGTACCAGCACCTATAAGAGTTTCACATGATCACAGTAGGCTAAAAACTTTGAACAAACTGCAATTATTCAATAATAGCAGTTTTTGTGACAAATTTGGACGAAATCTTTTGCCCATCTTCCGTTGTTTCTGTAAAGCAGAGACCAACTTTTTTGCTACAGCGGGACATCGTTTTCAATGATACTGTTATTGGAAATTGGGTTTCCTAAACAGTTTTGAGATTTTTGTCGGATTTTGTCGCACATCGTGAAATATCGTTTTCCATCTTATTTTTGGTAATACTATCACTTTTTCCTTCATGAAACTGTAACGGGTATGGTGCGTATATAATTCGCGTTAACTATCAATAAACATTTAAACTTTTGATCCGCAAACTTTGTTACAACATTCGAAATAAACCCGGGTTTTAATTGTCTTGTTTTTCCGAAAAGCATAAGGTGTCATATTGAAAATTATTATTTTGATCGAAGGGCAGGTTCTAAAGAAAACGGCCAATTTTTGGTCATGGGAATGTAAAACTTTTCTCTTTTCTGATGTTTCAATGTAAATTTGCTCATGAATTTTGTTTATCTCAGCAAAAGAAAGACAAAAATCAATTATAGTGAGACACAACTTGTTTCTTTTGCTACACTTGCGAAAGCAAGTGTCTTGTAATCAGTAACTAGACTTGTCCCTTAACCAACTTTTCATCACTGTTTCAAGCAGGCGACTTCGTATCTATTAAGACACTGGTATCTAAAAATCACTTTTAGGTAACTTATTTTCCCAGGTAACTATTTTCAGATGTGAAATGGGTAAGTGCAAGGCCACTCCAGCTCTTGTTAGCGAATTCAGTTAAGCACGACTGGTGGACGGCGATGATGAGTTTTTGGAATTTCAGCTGGACAAAAAGCGGATTAACGTAACCAATGGGCGATCTCGATTGACTCGAAAATTCGGAAGTGCATAAGTGAGTGAATACATTGACGTTAAGAAAACCAGATGAACCGTTGATGCAAAACTGTTGTTTCTGATTTTAATTAACTCAATTTTCTGTCAGTTGAATGTCTAAGGTTGAAAGTTGGAGCTCTCAATCGACAGCCGGCTATGCATGCAGCGCTTTTCAACCATTGTGATACTCAAACTGGTACACGGAATGCTGTTGCAATGCACGTATTGAGTCTTGTTCTGAAAAAGCAGACGTTTCAGTCTAGCGAATTTGTGATTCGAAAAAGACTTAGCTACAACCAGAAGATGTTCCCCGATTCATCATTTACGGCTTTGAACTGTGGAAAAACGAAAGCTAATTTTTTTTTAGCTGTTCATGCACTAGCTGCGTACGCGCGAGAGCAGCTGCAAAACTTATACTGTGGTAAACTGTTTGGGTTGCACCTCGACGAAACCACTTGTAACAGAAAGTGTCGTTTGTGGAGTTCTGGATTGTTTTTTTTGCGGAATGTAAGCGTAACTGCTGTTACTTGATGACAATTGAAATTGGCCTGTCTTTGAATATCGAGTTGTCTATGTATTTACTTCTATGGTGTTCTGCCGTGCTTGACGCCATCACTGCTTACAAATTCAGTTGCGACGACCAATCTACCATTTTGCGCACTTCTTACCTCGCAGGAAATTCAGACGCGTTCTGAGAACTACAAACGCTAATTGATTCTGTAATGATAGTTTGTGGACAAAACATGATTGTAGAGTCTGGGTTCTCTCCAATGAATGTTACGGAAACGGAGTACATGAGCGCTTCAGCTTCTGAGGTATATGGCGCTCTGCGAATAATCCAAGAATTTTGGTACCGAATTTTGGTAAAGTTATGTTATACCAGCTGAGCTGCACCAACTTATCAAAATGTCCGCAGCGTACAAGGATTTAACCAAATTGAAAACTGTAGCGAATACAGGAAAAAGGGCGTATGCAGACGATCTCAGCAAGTTGCAAGTTTTCAAACGCAGAACTCCAGGAGCTGTGTAAAGAGACATATCCTCCACTTATGATGAGTTGAAAAGAGCTACAGAGCTGGTCGAGGAATTGGAAAAAAAGAACCCCAAGCTTGAAGCTGTACGTGACCCGGTAGCTGTTTCGTTTGTGGAACAATTGTGAAATTTAAAGTTTTTGCAATCATTTGTTTTTTGAACAGCTTTAGCGGTGTTTTAAAGTGTCTTCTTGTTGAAAAAAATTGTTTGGAATCTTTTTGGTATCTTTTCTCGCGAAAAGAGAGAGGTATCTATTTTATGCTCAGTAAAGGGGCCACCCTGCACTGTTTTATCATTGAATCCTTACAACTTTCAGATTCCTTTGCACTTGGCCTACACGTAACGTCGTTGTTTTTGCAACCTAAGGCCTGAGTGTAATCCCTGCCGGATTTTTTTTCCAACATGAATGCAATTGAAAACTTTTTCCGGCTAACTTTTTTGTTTTTCTGCTGAAGTTATGTCGGCTTAGTTGCCACATCATGAATTTTTTAAATCATGGATTTTTACAATTTGCAAAAGAGGTATATTGTAGTTTCAGGGGAACTTGAAATCATAAAAAGTTTTTATTTAATCATTTTTTGATGTCTGCACAAAGTTTTCGGTTTTGTTTCCGCTTCGTAAGCTTTGTTCCATTTCTAATTTAAACTTCAAATCTATTGCTTGGCATGTTTGCTTGGTTTTCTTGACCGATAAAAACACGTATTATGCAGCCGACCGTTAAGCTCGCTCCTGTTCTTCCTTCTTCAGGGGGGAGGATGTTGCAACGCAAATGTAGAGTATAGATGCATGAAAAACAGTATAAGTACATGTTAAAACAAGCACAGTTGGCTGAGTGACCTAAGCTAACGTACCGACTATACCAACTTGCCAGTTGACGTAGGTTCGAGTCTCCCACCTGCCCATGTATTAATATGCTAAAAACGGGGGACATCCTATTTTAACTGTTTTTTTGGTTCTAATTCGGTTCAGCCTTGAATAAGGCTGACCGCCAAAAAGAGCAGTTTGTCTCAAGGACATTATTACCGGTTCTTGCGCCGATTTGTCCCATTTTCGGGGCAGATGATAAAAAGTTATATGATGTTATGATCGATAGAGAATGCCGAATTTTATCTATTGACTGAGTTATTTGTCGAAAAATATTCCTTATTAATTTACGGATTCGGATTCAACTATTTTCGTTTGGAGATCAGAGCGGGAACACGTTCCAAATCATAGATTTTGGATTCAATGTGAAAAAAAATGTTGTAGGAAGCACCCCTGTTTTAATCTTCACTTCGAACAATTTACACGAAAACTTACACATCGGAAAGTCACATTTTGAATTTTTGATTACTTTTGAAATTATTTGACATTTCGCGAAAACTGCCCTCAGAAATCTGAGATTTTGGGTCTAATGCATTGTTGAACCGCGTTGAGGAACAATAAATCTCAATATTGATATCAAATCGCCATTTCGACGCAATTTAATTTCATTCTATCTAAATGATTAATAAAGGAGAGCTGTTCGTCTCCTATAAAACCTGGATATACGCTGGAAACCTCTGGGGCAGAAAACATCATTCTTTCTACTTTGTTTAGGACATTATAACAATCAAGTGTATCAAGTGATTTTTTTTCAGATCGAGCAGTTTTTATTCAAAATCTTTATTAACCCCTCTGTTAATTCAGCGAATGCGTCAACCGGTATAGCAAACTTTTGTTGAAAACAAAATTGACATTCAAAAAGGACTCCAAAACTTTCCAGGTAGTTATATAATCTGGCATGCATAACTTTAAATAATTTTGCTACAACTACTTAAGAGTGAAAAAGGCGAAGTTATTCAAATTGAGTTTGCTGCTATTTTGTGTAATGCAAAATTTTTTGCCCTATTCATTGCATCAGGGAAAATACCATAATTAAAAGAGAGATTTACAAGATAAATAAATTAATAAGCAATTACAAAGCATCGTGACCCAAAATGTTTTCATTGGTTTTTGTATCGCAAATGATGCGAAGCTCAACTTCGCTTCCATGGAATGCTTTTGGATTGGGATATTGCTTTTGGATTAATCAAAAGCATGAATCTTGGGCCTAAATCACTCAATCTGGGTTTTAAAAACACTGCCGAGAAGTGAAAAAAGTCATAGAAAAAAAAAGACATTTTGTTTGACTCAGGTACTGGTTAAACATGATTGAAACTCAGTTTTAATTAAATAAGTTTTCTACAAAATCAGATATGTTGCTTTCATGGAGAGCGATTAGTGTCATGATAGCGAGTCCTGCCAGAATACCAAGCACGTGCATCACTCCTTGAACCACTAAATCTGGGCCACTAGTGTCAATGGCATGGGGAAGCATGTTTATGAATCCAACGTATATGAAACAGCCAGCGGCCGTGCAGAGAACGTAGGCGGACTCCGACGCACTGGATCCAATCAGTGCTCCGGCTCCAACTCCTGCAAGTGCCACGGTGTTGGAAATGAGCGCCATTTTCAGCACTTGGTTCGGTTTCACGCCGTTGCTGACAAGAACGACAAAGTCGCCGACTTCGTGTGGGATCTCGTGCAGCGCTACCGCGATTGAAGTGGCCAGACCGTCAACGAGAGAAGACGAGAAAGCGGAGCCGATTGCAAGACCATCTATGAAATTGTGAAACGCATCACCGATTATGACCATCATGGACCTCGAGGTTCCATGACTATGGCCATGACTATGACCATGATTATGTCCACTACATGAATCGTGCATCGTCAGCTTCGGTCTTTCTTGAACATTATGATCGTGTTGTGGAACTTGCTCGAATGTAAACTTGTCTTTGGTTTGCACCTTTTTGGGTGAGGTTTCATTAGAGTGGCAAAGAATAGGAGCTGCGGAAGAAACAACGCGAGGAGTCTCTTCTGAGATATTTTCGGGCAACAGATGGTTTGACGTAAGTTCAGATTCTTGCGAAGTCATCGATATCTTCCCTAAGTTTCTCCTCAATTCTGTTTCTGTCTCTTGATACTTCTCGCTTTCTTTAGTCTGTTGCGATGTATTGATTGCCTCGAGAGTTTTCTCGATGAAGTATAAGATATAAACTGTAGCAACTACAGCTATCATTCGTTTAGCCAATTGAGAATGACTAGCGTGCTCTTTTTCTTCACTTTCACTGTGCATTGACTCTGGAATTAGGTGCAAAAATGCGTCTCCTGTTAAAGTTCCAATAGCCAATGCTATGAAGAATGTTATGACCCGTTTGTAATTCTTGCCCTCGCTCACTCCATGATGTCTATCGATGTAAAGTTTGAGAAGAAAGGAAACTGAAATACTCAGCGCGCCTATTGCACCTGTGATCATCAGCGCGAAGATGATTCGATGTAGCATCGACATTGATTTAGAGTCGTCGTCCATTACTATTTCGACATCAACTGTATGATGCACACATGCCATTTGGGCTATTTGGTTGAGTATTTCAGGACACATTTGTACCATTTCTGGGTAAGTGATGACTTCCTGTTTGAAGTTATATTTCGCTATAAGAGAACTTGAGTTTAGACATAGTTCATTAGGATGTCGATCCATGTCGAAATGAGTCTGATGTTTGAAGGGTTTCAATTTCGGGTTCTCGGATTTGTCGCCATTGATGAACACATTGGGGTCAATGTGAACTTGAACTTCGTCGGCAGCGATAACTTCCGAATCCATGTCGTCATGATTCCTTCTAGATCTTTCCCCGTGTTCGTAAAAGCGAGTAGTCGATTTCGTTTTCTTGCTGATCACCATCATTTTCCAGTGATGTTCTGTAGTCCTGACTGTTATAGTACCTCGCCCCAGCCCAACAGATTTCATCAAGCGGCTGAAAGCGTCTTGCGTGAAATATGGTTGCGAAATATTTCGTTCCTGTTGGGAGCCGTTTTTCAATTCGCTCTCATCTGTAAATTTATCTCTGAGCAAATCAAGCGCTTCAACCGTTCTTGCAGTAAGATCCAAACACACTTCGCTTAAATTTGCATCATCAGTACCCTGAGAGATCCCCGCAAAGAAAAGGAAAATTGTTACAACAACACAATGTACAGAATAATTTTGGCAAGGTCGCATGTTGGCAAAGTATTTGGTTTATGAACAGAATAATAACGTTTTTGAGGATTGTCAGGCTTAAATTATAGATAATTTATGAATGATGTGTTGATTTGATTCAAAGTTGTAATGAACATCCATCTATTTTAGGCTCGAGTTTTTAGCTATCAGCTCTTTTGAAGAGCGATCTAGAAGCATCTCAAAGACTCACTATCGAGAAAGGGTTGAGTAAACACGTCAAAAGTACTTTAGGACAGCCTATGTTTGCTTTTGGGATCTTTTGTCTTTCTACTTGCAAATAATAAAAGATAAGTGTCTTTATTTTTCAAATATTTATTCTAATTCAACTCCAAAGTGGGGGCTTTGACACTCAAATATTAGCATTCCCGAGGTTTCAGTCGTACACAAAAACTAAGCAAGCGCGATTCGTCGATAAAACAAAGATCGATCGTATCAAAACATACCATTGATGATGATTGCCTGACTTTAAGAGGATTATTTATTGGTGGTCTGACAATCGGTTAGATCTTTGACCTCGAACTGAAGCAATAAAGTTTTCACACGATTGGTGCAGAGAAGTGACGTTGTTTAATCTGGTCAAGATTTGAAGATAATCCTCAAACAGACTTTTCGATAACTGCGATATAGCAACACGTTGAAGGCGTTGCTTTGATAATAACTGGAGCTTCGATTCAAAAAAAAAGTTCTGGAGAAGCGCAAATAAATCGTAAAAAAGTGTGGTTTAAAAAATGAGTTATAAATAATTAGTTGCAAATAGATTGGAACGACAGAATTAATTACAAGGGCGGATCTAAGATTTTCTAGAGGGGAGGGCTTCAAAAAAAAATTCGAAAATTTGGAAATTTGGTAGTCTTTTTAAGGATCAGACAGGCAAAATTGGATATATCAAAATAGTACAAAGAGGGGGCCCTTGGGTGGGCAGGGGGTCGAATCCCTGGGGGGGGGGGGGTTGATGTCCGCTTCGCACCCCTTCTAAATCCGCTGAATAATTGAAAAGAGAAATCTGCCAAACGTGAACAATTTTTGCATGCAAGTTTTGAAATTTAAGGTGACCTTGACAAAGATTTTCTTTTAAAAATGGGCGCTCTGAAGGATTATTTGCTCTTTTTAATTAATTCTGTATGTTTCAACTTTTTGCAATTCTTTATAAACTCAAAAGCTGAATTAAAAGTTAAAACGGAATTGGTTTGTGGCTCTCCAAATGATGAACTCCAGATTACTAATCTTGTTCAACAATCGGTTATTTTCAATGCAAAAAGTGAAGAATGTGAATGCACAGACTTTAAAATATGCGTTTCTGAATACGAGTGTACATATATAGTTGATAAGCAACTGGTCTCTGTTACAAGATGCAACTGGTTTCTGTTTTTGGATCTGTTTTGTAAGTTATCTGGCCAGAATAGTTTTCTTCGGCTCTGTACTACATGTTTTTCTGTACGGTCTAGCTTTTATTATTCAAAGCTGTTAAATTATGCCAGTAAACATCAAATATAAATGACTTTGTACTTAAGTTGAGTAGCAGATTTAAGACGACCCCTAAATATTCGACCTGTACCCATCCAAAAGGTCCCTCTTTGGTTCTTTTTTATGACATCCAGTTTTGATCGACCAACAGTAAAATTTGACGTCATCAAAATACGGTTGTTCCCATTTGTTTTTTTGGCCCTACCCACTGTATGGTCATCTTGGTCAGCCATTCCCATCTTGAGGAGGCGGATGACCTTGAGAACCCTCAAACTGCAACGAAAACGGTGTTCGAACCCACGACCCTCGTTTTGAAGCTAATGAGAAAATTGTGCATATTTCAGTGTCTTCACGTTTTTTCTTCCAACCTAGACATAAAAAACATACGAAACATTTTTTCTAAAAATCTGCTCAACTTAAACCTATCAAAAAGTGAAGAGATTTTGAGTAGTAATTATTAGTTAAATAAATAAATTATACCTTGTGAAGATGGCATCTGTAAACATTTTTTCTTAATCTCTGCACGTGTGATATCAATAGTTTTTGAAACGGCTTCAATACGTATCTCGTAGTGTACTGATTAATCCAATACCGATGTAATTATTAGTGTTTCAAACTCTGAAAAAAAAGTTTTCCAATTTTCAAAAGTGAGAAAAAAGACCTAAGTAGACACTAAAAACGACACTAATTATTTGAAAAAAAAATTGATTGCCTTTGTATTTATCTAATAAAGTAATAAGTGGTTTCTTCATATATATATTTAATGCACAGGAAAACAGAAGACTCATTCAAAATATTCTGTTTTTCACACACAAACCGATGAAATTAAATAGTGCTAGGGTTTTTAGCAGACCGGTTTTTTAGCAGACTCAATACAATTAGCAAGTCAGAAAGATAACTTCAAACGCGGCGTTGGCGATTAGCGACCGCTTGAATCGATGCGCTTCCATTCGGCACGAGTGTTATTGTGCGCGTAAATCTTTGCTGTGCCGCTAAGTTAGACTGTTGTGTTTTTAAGTTGATAGTTTTGTTGACAAATAGTGAGATAATTATATCTTAATGTCGAATGAGTCTGATGTTTGAAGGGTTTCACCGTCGGGTTCTCGGATTTGTCGCCATTGATGAACACATTGGGGTCAATGTGAACTTGAACTTCGTCGGCAGCGATAACTTCCGAATCCATGTCGTCATGATTCCTTCTAGATCTTTCCCCGTGTTCGTAAAAGCGAGTAGTCGATTTGGTTTTCTTGCTGATCACCATCATTTTCCAGTGATGTTCTGTAGTCCTGACTGTTATAGTACCTCGCCCCAGCCCAACAGATTTCATCAAGCGGCTGAAAGCGTCTTGCGTGAAATATGGTTGCGAAATATTTCGTTCCTGTTGGGAGCCGTTTTTCAATTCGCTCTCATCTGTAAATTTATCTCTGAGCAAATCAAGCGCTTCAACCGTTCTTGCAGTAAGATCCAAACACACTTCGCTTAAATTTGCATCATCAGTACCCTGAGAGATCCCCGCAAAGAAAAGGAAAATTGTTACAACAACACAATGTACAGAATAATTTTGGCAAGGTCGCATGTTGGCAAAGTATTTGGTTCATGAACAGAATAATAACGTTTTTGAGGATTGTCAGGCTTAAATTATAGATAATTTATGAATGATGTGTTGATTTGATTCAAAGTTGTAATGAACATCCATCTATTTTAGGCTCGAGTTTTTAGCTATCAGCTCTTTTGAAGAGCGATCTAGAAGCATCTCAAAGACTCACTATCGAGAAAGGGTTGAGTAAACACGTCAAAAGTACTTTTGGACAGCCTATGTTTGCTTTTGGGATCTTTTGTCTTTCTACTTGCAAATAATAAAAGATAAGTGTCTTTATTTTTCAAATATTTATTCTAATTCAACTCCAAAGTGGGGGCTTTGACACTCAAATATTAGCATTCCCGAGGTTTCAGTCGTACACAAAAACTAAGCAAGCGCGATTCGTCGATAAAACAAAGATCGATCGTATCAAAACATACCATTGATGATGATTGCCTGACTTTAAGAGGATTATTTATTGGTGGTCTGACAATCGGTTAGATCTTTGACCTCGAACTGAAGCAATAAAGTTTTCACACGATTGGTGCAGAGAAGTGACGTTGTTTAATCTGGTCAAGATTTGAAGATAATCCTCAAACAGACTTTTCGATAACTGCGATATAGCAACACGTTGAAGGCGTTGCTTTGATAATAACTGGAGCTTCGATTCAAAAAAAAAGTTCTAGAGAAGCGCAAATAAATCGTAAAAAAGTGTGGTTTAAAAAATGACAGTTATAAATAATTAGTTGCTTCGCGCCCCTTCTAAATCCGCTGAATAATTGAAAAGAGAAATCTGCCAAACGTGAACAATTTTTGCATGCAAGTTTTGAAATTTAAGGTGACCTTGACAAAGATTTTCTTTTAAAAATGGGCGCTCTGAAGGATTATTTGCTCTTTTTAATTAATTCTGTATGTTTCAACTTTTTGCAATTCTTTATAAACTCAAAAGCTGAATTAAAAGTTAAAACGGAATTGGTTTGTGGCTCTCCAAATGATGAACTCCAAAACACCAGATTACTAATCTTGTTCAACAATCGGTTATTTTCAATGCAAAAAGTGAAGAATGTGAATGCACAGGCTTTAAAATATGCGTTTCTGAATACGAGTGTACATATATAGTTGATAAGCAACTGGTCTCTGTTACAAGATGCAACTGGTTTCTGTTTTTGGATCTGTTTTGTAAGTTATCTGGCCAGAATAGTTTTCTTCGGCTCTGTACTACATGTTTTTCTGTACGGTCTAGCTTTTATTCTTCAAAGCTGTTAAATTATGCCAGTAAAAATCAAATATAAATGACTTTGTACTTAAGTTGAGTAGCAGATTTAAGACGACCCCTAAATATTCGACCTCTACCCATCCAAAAGGTCCCTCTTTGGTTCTTTTTTATGACATCCAGTTTTGATCGACCAACAGTAAAATTTGACGCCATCAAAATACGGTTGTTCCCATTTGTTTTTTTTGACCCTACCCACTGTATGGTCATCTTGGTCAGCCATTCCCATCTTGAGGAGGCGGATGACCTTGAGAACCCTCAAACTGCAACGAAAATGGTTTCGAACCCACGACCCTCGTTTTGAAGCTAATGAGCAAATTGTGCATATTTCAGTGTCTTCACGTTTTTTCTTCCAACCTAGACATAAAAAACATACGAAACATTTTTTCTAAAAATCTGCTCAACTTAAACCTATCAAAAAGTGAAGAGATTTTGAGTAGTAATTATTAGTTAAATAAATAAATTATACCTTGTGAAGATGGCATCTGTAAACATTTTTTCTTAATCTCTGCACGTGTGATATCAATAGTTTTTGAAACGGCTTCAATACGTATCTCGTAGTGTACTGATTAATCCAATACCGATGTAATTATTACTGTTTCAAACTCTGAAAAAAAAGTTTTCCAATTTTCAAAAGTGAGAAAAAAGACCTAAGTAGACACTAAAAACGACACTAATTATTTGAAAAAAAAATTGATTGCCTTTGTATTTATCTAATAAAGTAATAAGTGGTTTCTTCATATATATATTTAATGCACAGGAAAACAGAAGACTCATTCAAAATATTCTGTTTTTCACACACAAACCGATGAAATTAAATAGTGCTAGGGTTTTTAGCAGACCGGTTTTTTAGCAGACTCAATACAATTAGCAAGTCAGAAAGATAACTTCAAACGCGGCGTTGGCGATTAGCGACCGCTTGAATCGATGCGCTTCCATTCGGCACGAGTGTTATTGTGCGCGTAAATCTTTGCTGTGCCGCTAAGTTAGACTGTTGTGTTTTTAAGTTGATAGTTTTGTTGACAAATAGTGAGATAATTATATCTTAATTGGGGAGGCTTTATCCAAGACTGAGCGTCTTTTTGAGTCTGTAAATCTGTATGCATCAGTTTAGTATAATGGTCTGCTAAAAGACTCATTTTTCACATTTTATGCTATAAACGATCGGTCCCCAGATGAAACGATCGTTCTCTCAGCGTAATTTTTCTCCACACAAACGAAAACCATCTATGCTTCAATCGCTAGAGCAAAAAATTGCCGTACTTAAGGGTAGGTTATCAGTTTTTTTTAGTGTTAGTTGTTCATTTATACATATCGCAAGCACTTTTTACTCATCCCTTTGACTTTGGGTTTTCTTCTAGAGGAAATGTTCCGTTTTGAGGAAAACACTTTTTCTAAGCATTCACAATTTCTTGTCTGCAGTCTATTTCATT